ACGCTTTGGAGTACCTGTATATCCATCTTATCTCCAAGGTAATGGATCGGAGTGAGACGGGTTAATAATAAAAAGAGAAATCGTCAGAGTGGTAAAGAGACGAAAGGAATGGCAGAAGGTAACCGTGTACCTACCCAACTTCAGGCTGGTTAGTTTCACGCTTCAGTGACGCGTAATCGGTGATTCCTCATTTTCTTCAGTTTTGCCGCACGATTCGAGAGCGGATACGGAAGGGATAACGTTATGTCTTTTTAAGAGGATTTATATTTATTCCTACAAAATGGAATAACGATAGACTTGTAATCGAGGATCGACAACGTGCTATACGCGTGGTAGCGATTTTGATTGGTCGTTAGGTCGACGGTGGCGACACCTGCGGCACATTTTCCCAACTAAGACGGGATATCGTAATTCGTCAACAGTTAACAAGCAATCAAAGGCGTATCGTAAAATACGGAACTACCGATCTCTATGGATTCATGTAAAGGCGCTTTAATGGATATAGGTGCACGTGGTATGCTCTTTATTATACGTATATATGATTACTCTACACGTGTACTCTTGTACGAAGCAATCATTATCGGCTACCGTAACTGGCAGTGAAATTATACTTCGGCCTGACAACTGCCAGTGTATTTCCCATGATCGCATTACCCATCCCGCAACACACTCGCTACGTAGACTTTGGCTCACTATAGCTACGTTACGTGAATAAGATGATTCGAAACAAGGTTATTGGCTCTGGTCGTGCAGCTGCCGCCTGCTGCAAGTCTCTGGACTTTTTCGAAGTTTCCACCGCCACCGCTATGGCTACCGTCACTAGTCGACTCTACGGTATTGTATATCTGCGACTCCCTTCTCCTGGATACTTACAATCTGACGTATACTAAATCCTCTTTACTCTCAGACGTCCGTCATGAGAATCATTAGGATTGAAATATTTTCAACTGGATGCTGATTTATTGGATACGAAGAAGCAAACAATATACTTACTAAGAAAATTGATTATTACTACCAGGGGCTGACGGGCTATTATTTTGAAAATATTTCAAAATAAAAACGAATACGGAAAAAAAAATTATTACTTGGACTAGTATCGAGTCTCTTCAATCAGACATGAATCTGGGCTATGGACCTAGTCAACGACTTGATCTGTAGGATGTGACGCGGGGGTAGGTGGTAGTAGGTCAGAATATTGATCAAGCAGCATTAGAAAGACACGATCGAGTATAGTACGTCCCTAGAGTTGGTCAAGTCAAATAACTAAAAAAAAACGAAAATAAAGATATAAAGAGGTCGTCGAATCCGAAGCGATACTCTAAATAAGTATAAGATCAGAAGCGAACACGTCGAATATGCGAAATACGAGAACGAATGGACTGAAGGTGTCTGAACGAAAATCCAATGCCGATTCCCAGTGCAAGTCAAAAAGGATCCAAGCCCTTTCTCTCTCTCTTACCCAGATAGCAACCCTTCCTTCGTTTTCTCTTTTTTTTTTTTTTTTTTCTTTTTTTTCAAGGACTCGTAATAGCACCCGACACAAAGAGGATTTCACTCAGCGCGGAACACGTTGGCTAGGTGGTCGGCATGCCCACAGAGAAAACAAGAGGCACGCGCGTATAAAGAAATAAAAGAGATATCTATGTATCCCTTATCCGCGAGCAAAACATCCCTTAGCGGTATACCCTATAAAACGAAATACGTATAAACGGCATACGGGAGTTTCGTCATAGTAAAAAAATCATTCTGGCCTGACATCAACCCCAAGAAGGTAGCTACCCTTGCAATATCGATCGGCATTAAGGAAAACGGAAATTACGCGGATCCTTTTTTACATATAATTACCGTGGCACGTTCATCAGGAAACTTTGTCCTGGGAACAATTCAATCATGACGATTGCACTCGCGCCGATTTCAATTCTAGTCTAGTATACGATACGCACGTGCCCTGTGAGACAGGTCATAGGTAGACACCGGCTGACGAAAGTTTGTAGGATGGCAATTTTGATTTACTTCTGAAAGTCAGGTGGGTGAATCCTAGAAAAAAAAAAAAAAAAAGAAAAAAACACAAAGGACCCCTAACGGTAGTGGCAATGGTAGAGGTAGGTTCGTCGTAGAGGGTATGGAAACGTTAGTACTAGGGGTTGACGGTACACGTATGTACAACTAGACTAGAGGATAGCGGATAGCGGTGTAGCCAGGGGTGACTGGTTGGGTGAATGGTGACTGACGAGGGGGTCTCAGGAAGCCGAAGCAAGGGGTGTGTTTGTCGGTTAAGGGTCAGGGGTCAGAAGAGTGAGAGGGTATCCCCAAAGAGG